TCTGGGAGGGGAGTGGGGTGTAGTGGTTAGAGCAGGGTGGCTGGGAGTCAGGACTCCTGGGTTCTAGCCCCAGCTCTGGGAGGGGAGTGGGGTCTAATGGTTAAAGCAGTGGGGGCTGAGAGTCAGGACTATCTAGCTATTAGAGCAGGCAACAGGCATCTGGAAGCCAAATCAGGAGTGTGAAAACTCCCTCCGTATCATCTCAAGGGAAGAATGGGGGGGTAGCAGAGAGCGCCCTTGCCCTCAGGCATAGAGCTTTCCAGCTACACAATCCCATACCCACTGGGGGTCAGCACTGACGGTCAAGGGAGAGCGCCCCCTGCTGAGCCCCCCTCCCTGCAGCACAGCAATGCCGGGGTCAGCACTGGCCGTGTGGGGTGGGCCCGTGTGAGCATGCCCAGTCCAGGCGCCAGTGCGGAGCAGGAGGGACGTGATTTGTGGACGCTTGCACTGAATTCCAGGGACAACGACAAGATCAAGCAGAGGATCATTCAGCTGACGGAGCTGCAGGAGAGCCTGGTGAGCGGGGCTCTGTGGGCGGGCATAGGGTCTGGGCCCAGCGCGGGTGGGAGGCTACACAGCCCTGGCATCCTACCAGCTCCACACACCAATCCACCCCATCCCCCCAAGCCTGATCCTGCCAGGGGCTGAGGGTAGCCCCATGCTGGCCCTAACGCACCATCCCCTCACCCTCAGGTCTGCTCCCAACCCCCAGCCCCATTAGATCTGCTGTCCTGGGCTCATCTGCTGCGTGCCTGCCCCTTTAAATGCCCCTGCCCTGAGTAGGGGTGTTCCTTGCACCCTGTGATTCCTGCTCTAGGACCTTCTATGCAGCCCCCCTGCACCCTGCCGAGACACCAACCCGTCAAGAACCTGGATGAGAGCTCGCGCCAGACGGCCTGGGGGCATTTACTGAGATACTGGGGCTGGTTCCCAGCTCCCCCATACTGCTCCTGACTTAGGGGGTAAAGTGACTTTGACCTACCTGTATTCTGGGCCCTGCCCCCAGTGTCACTTGGGCCTGGTCTACACTAGGACTTTAATTCGGATTTAGCTGCCTTAATC